TTACATGGCAATCATCCTATAACCAGGATACCGATCTAACCGATCTCTAACATAGCAACCATCCTAAACCAGGATGAAATCTAATCATAGCAATAACATAGCGACCATCCTAACCCAGGATGTAAATCATAAAGGGCCGGCCTTGGTGCCGTAGACCCTGCTGATATAGTGAGGAGAACTCACCTCACAATGTCGCACTGAAGTGATAGGCTCAAATTCTCGAATCACCAACACGAATTCCACCACTTATAGTCACCATAAAACCCCTTTCCATAAATTTCCAAATTACCAAAATACCCTCAGAAGTCAACTGGTCAACTCTTGGTCAAAGTCAAAGTCCACAGTCAAATTCAACAGTCCATGTTAACTCAAACTCGTCGAGTGTAGTTCACCGACTCGTCGAGTCCTTCCTGAACTCGAGAAGTCGTGAAATCCTTGATTGGCTCGTCGAGTTCCCTTTTAACTCGCCGAGTTCATACGTGTCCAAGAATTGGGAGAAACCCTAGCCGACTCGCCGAGTCTTCGAACGACTCACCGAGTCCAAGGCAATGTTCAACGGGCTCGCCGAGTTTGTTCATCAACTCGACGAGTTCACGACCATCTTCATATGACTCGCCGAGTTGACTATGCAACTCGCCGAGTCCTTGCAGACCTTTATCCATGCAGACCCTTTTTAAACCATGCCAAGGTTCCAGATTACAGATCCAAGCTTCTAAGGCATGTTTATCATGTAAAGTTGTAAACTTTACACACATGCAAGGCCCTAAAGGCTCTAAATGACCAATTTAAGCTTCTAATGGAGCTTTACACCTTAGGAGAGTCTCATCCTTGCAAGAGCTGGAAACTTTATGGACTTAGGACTCAAAAGAGGTTCAGATCTGAAGTTTCAACTTTAGATCTAGCTCCCATACCAAAATCCCTTCATGAATAACTAAAGAAAGCCCTAGTTTTCACATATGAATGATTCTAGAAGAAAAAGAGGTTAAGGTAACAGCTGGTTACCTCCAAAACGTGCCCAAACTGAAGTAGACTCTGAATCCACACATAAATCTTGATGCTAGCCTCTTGATCTACAAATTTCCTTCACAAAAGTCACTTCCCAAAGCTCCAAAATACTCTCCAAAGCTCTCACTCACGGAAATTAGGGTTTATGGGTCTCAAGGGGGTGATAGAGGACAGTGGGAGGCGCTAATGGTCCAATATATAGGGTGCAAAACCCTGAAAATTAGGGTTTCCACTGCCAGCTCCTACTCGTCGAGTCCCTCATGCCGACTCGACGAGTCACTCATTAATTGACGTGTCCTGGCCCGCTGCTACTCGACGAGTCATAGCGCCAAATCGTCGAGTAGACCTTAGACATGAAGTCTAAATGGAAAAAATAATAATACCTGACAGTTGGGATGTTACATTTATGGTTTCAGGTACTTCCAGTTCGAAAGGGAAGGGCCCGACTTGATCGCAGCGTATACACCTGTGTTTTCCGCAATATGTGATCTTTGGGAATGAACTCTAATAATTGTTTTATTTGAAATGCTTTTAAATGTTTGGATAAATTTACAATAGTGTTTTGATTATAATAAAAATGAAAATTTTACCCTTGTTTTTCGGGATGTTACGTAGCAGCTTGATACCCACGTGCAAAATATTAACTTTTACCACACAACTTGTAAAATGATAAAAAGCTTCAAGTATATATAGGAAAAGACATTCGCCAAATTTTGGTTCACCAAATTCTAGGAATTCATTTGGTTTGGTTGACGTTTTATTGATTTTGAAGCTAAAAATGTTAAATTATCAAGTTGATTGCTATTCTTAGGAAAACCTCCAAAATTCATTGTCATTTTAGGCAAAAATGCCATACATAGGAAAAATGATCAAACTTTGTTGTTTTTCATCGACAGAACTAAAATAAGATAGTTAAACCACAAATATGACCAAAATATAAAAATCTCTCCATAGTTTGTTTTATTAGTATAAATTGAATTACATATTTATTCATTATTTCGTTTGTATTTATTTTGAATTTTACTTTAAAAAACACTTAATGTTTACACCTTGATATTTAATCTTTTCTTAAAAAATGCTTAATACTTATATCTATATATACAACTTTTTTTTAATCAACTCGTAGAGTATACGAGTCTCACACCTAATGAGATAATATTCGGTAAGACAATATTATCTTTTTAGGTTTGCCAATGATTAAGTACACAACAAAAACAAGCAATATGGATAGTCCGAGTTCAAAAAAAGTTAAGGACCAAGCGTGCAAATTACCCCAAACCACACGATCGTTTGACACATATATCATTTTTCTCGTTTAAAAATGAGTAAATTACACAAATGGTCCCTATGGTTTAGAGTAGTTTGCGCGTTTAGTCTCTAATTATTTTAAACTCAAATGGTTCCTATGATTTAGTTTTATTGTGTCTTTTGGTCCTTATCATATATAAAAAGACTATTTATTACCTTTATTCATTTTTTTTTCTAATTTTATCTATAGTTTGCACGTTTACTCTCTCTCTCTCTCTCTCTCTCTTTCTCTCTCTTTCTCTCTCTCCCTCTCTCTCTCTCTTGCGCACACGCGTCTTCTTTATAGAAACACAACTGCCGCCCTTTTGAAACCTGCCAACAAAAGCCTTCTTCGAAAAACCCATAGACCACCTTAAAGGGTTAGACTGTTAAGCATATAAAATGGAGAGATAATGAGGGCTGAGCCATAGCCATCATTGCCCGTAGAGGTGTAGACTGTAGTTAACAAGTCCTGTCATCTATTCTTTGACTTCTTATTCTTTCCAACAATTAACTTTTAAACGTATTCTATGGTTCACAATAGCGTGGATTCTCTTCTTCTTTCGAGCCGATTGCCTCATCTCCTTTCCCAGGCAATAATCTGTAAGTTATTTAACGCCTTATCCACATGTAATTTACAAATTAGAGACAATTGTAAGCTTCTTCTTCATGCTTGGTACCTTGATGATGGGACAGTCATTGGAGATTCAGAAGAGGTGGCCAGAGTATTCGACATCATTAGGGTGGCAGGCCCATGATTGGGGCTTGAGCTGAATATCAAGAAAACTGAGCTATTTTGGCTTTCATGCGATGGTAGGAAGCTTCGTTCAAGTTTATTCCCTGCTGACATTGGGCGACCGTCAGTGGGGGTGAAGCTTCTTGGGGGAGCTGCTAGTAGAGATGCGAGTTTTATTAGCGGGTTAGCCATGAAGAAGGCTGCCAAGGTTGTTGATTTGATGTGCCTTCTACCACAGTTACATGACCCCCAGAGCGAGCTCCTTTTACTTCGATCTTGCATGGGAGCGAGCTCCTTTTGCTTTGATCTTGCATGGGCATCGCCAAACTTTTCTTTGGCCTGAGAACGTGCCAACCCGTTCACATGGAAGATGCTACTTTGTGTTTTGATAAAGGGTTACGTGGTTCGATTGAAGACATTGTGGTTTGCGGGGGTCCGTTCTTTGGGGACCTTCAATGGTGATTGGCTTCGCTACCAATTAGATTTGGTGGTTTGGGGTTGTACTCAGCAGTAGAGGATTCCTCCTATGCTTTTGTGGCCTCACGAGCTCAATCGTGGGTGTTACAAGACCACATCTTAAGAAATAGCGGCATATGTAGTATGGATTCATATTATGTTTGTGCTTTGGCCTTTCTTCGTGATACGATTCCGGGCTTTGACTTCAGCGGTTTTACTAATAAGGACACTGCCCCTCCAAAAGCCCAACATTCATTGGCGGGCGCCTTTTTTAGTAAAATTGTCCAAGAAATAGAAGTTCACTTCGACATGACGTTTAGGCAGAAAGCAATTTTTGAGTGTCTAAGGGCCCCACATGCTCAGGATTTTCTTATGACTATTTCTATTGACGGTCTTGGCCATCATATGCCGCCAGTGGAGTATCGTGCCATCCTTAAGTATCGCCTTATGATCCCCTTATTTCTGGCTGACGATACTTGCCCTGTTTGTCGCAAGGCATGCTTGGACTCATTTGGGGAGCATGCAGTTCATTGTAAAGAGATCCTGAGTTTCAAATACCGACACGATCTGGTTAGAGATGTTCTTTTCGACATATTTAGGCGTGCTGGGGTTTCTGCCAAGAAAGAGGCACCTGTGAACTTTCTAACTGACCCATTGGAAGGAAGATCAACACTTAGACCAGCTGATGTTCTAGTATTTGGATGGGCTGGAGGAAAACATGCATGCGTGGATCTAACAAGGATTTCCCCTCTTGTGGGCTTGGGGAGTGGAGTTTTCACGGTGGGGCAAACTGCTTTAAAAGCTGCATCAAGCAAAGTGGCAAAACATGAGAAAGCGTGTATGGACAATCAACACACGTTTATACTCTTTTCATTTGATACTTTCAGTTTCCTTGCGCCAGAAGCTGTGGAGCTACTCAATAGAGTCCAACGGGTTATGCATAGTAATGTTATGACTCCAAGATATATAGATGTTGTTTTTAAAAAAAATTAATTTTGCCATCAAAAAAAAGGGGTAGCGGCGCAGCTTGTTGCTCGTTTACCCGCTACGTCTATGTAAATCTTTCTTATAACTTATATATATTAATTATGAGTATTGTTAAGTAAATTTTTTTTTACAAAATTGTGGTTTCAATTGACATGATGTTCTGTAAGTCTTAAGTTAGTAGCTCGATTTTGTTTATATTTTATACTCTAATTTGATAATAACATTTGTTAGTGATAAGTATCGGTATGGTTTTTATAATTCGTGTGGTTGGGATCTTCAACAGGTTGAAGATCTGATTAAATAAGTAGGTGGGATTTTATATTATTTTGGCAGTGGTTGCCGGAATAGGCTGACGGTAGTTGTCAGAAGTGAGGGATCAAAAACATAAAAAAAAAAAAATCATAATACTTTCCATGTTAAAAAAGAAGTTGAAAAGACCAAATGACAAACTATTTCAAACCATAGGGATTATTCGTATAATTTTCTCTTCAAAAATAGAATAAAAGGCAACCCAAAGTTGCTAGCTGAAATGCTGAATATACCCATTGTTACACAAAACAATGGCGGCCATGTCGCCTGGAAACCCTGGTTGGATGATGGCACTATTTTTCGTCACGCCTCTTTGGAACTCAATGGCGAAGACGCCGCTTTCTCCTTGTTTAGATCATTCCATAACGACGTGTCTCCTATAGCCACCAGAGACCATACACCGACGATTGTTCTTGGAGAATCCGACGTTTCGCCCTGCCGTTTCCCCTTTGAGTGGTCGGGAATGGAGGCGGCGCCACCGTAGATGTTCTTGGTCTGAGGATATGCGGAGAGTGGTTGATTGACAGGCTGCTTTATGGTCATTGTCCGTTAGGTTTCAAATCCAAGCATCATTCCACCAGAAACAAAAATTCGAAAATTGAAGGTATCAAGTATTACTATTAATTTCCTTGTTCTCTCTGTTTTAAAAAGAAAATCTAAATTGTGATGCCAAATGGGTTAGTCCAACTAACAAGAAAATCGATAAGGATTGAAAATCTCTGTTGTTAAATTAGATCAATTAGTGTATAATTTCTTTTATGAAAAATAAAATTATTCACCTTGCAGTTGAGAAAACATTCATGATTAACATGATTCTTGTCATAGTAATTATTATGCAATAATGTCCATTGCTATATGAAACTCAGCTGTGATAGTATTGAGTAATAATAGTAAATGATAATGTAAGCTTCATAATTGCTTTTGGTTTTCTTAATAGGATTGATGAGAAAATAAACTACCGAAATAAATATATTGAATTGAGATAATTTGGCGCGAAATACTTATATAAAATAAATATTAGGAAACATAAGCTCCCAGACTATTTAAACTTTGTTACCGGTTATGCTCAATCTATTTATTTGCGCAACATTTGACCGTCTAGAATCTAAATATATTTCTGGTTTTGTATTTAATATTCTTAGTACTTATTTCTTCTCATTTTATTTGAATTTTATCTTTTTGTTCATCCTTATTATTAACCTCACATTCCTTTTCGCACCGACAAAAATGTCATTTCAGTATCTTGGTTGCTTTTATGTTTTTCTTACTGCTTTAATAATTGAAGTTGTGTTTTTCTTTCATAAAGTTTATTTTTTATTGTTCTTGATTGTTATGCTTTTTTTAAAAAAAAATAACATACTCTGCATATTTTGTTGTCACTGATGAGTGGAATGTAAAAGAGAAAGTAAGTTATTTTTATTTGAAGTTGTTAAATATGAATCAAGTAAATGATCTTTGCATAATATACATCCCTCTCAACCAAATTTTCAACAACTCTAAAAACTCACTAGTCTCTTTGTCACCTTTAACGACAGATTGCACATTGACACTCAAAAAGTTCTCCAGATCTATGCTAACGTGGCGCATAGAATAAACAGATGATAAGAAGTTCAAATCTTCCGCATGCCTACAGTAACACACTCGTGTACATTGCCGTTCCGGTTGATAAAATTCTTCATAAACATCAACAATGTTTTTCAATAATAGCTCCCATGTTGAAGATAGCGACGACCCTTCAAAATATAGGTCACCAATTACATCTTCATACACTATCTCATCACCAATGTCCTGATCTATCTCGGTCAGCTCGGTCACAACATTGTCATGCTCCTCAAGGTCTGCTCGACATAGAATAGTTTGACCATATTGAAGAGGTAATTCTGAGCAACTGGACCTTGTGATTTTGAAAAGGGGTCCACCTTGACCATTATTCGACACCTCACATGTAAAAAGTGAGCCGGTAAGCTTTTCATGCCAACATGGCTTATATTTTTCCGTGCCAACAAGACTTATAATTGATGGCAAACAAACATCTTCCAAAATGAACATAATTGACAAAAACCTAATGTGACAGCAGAAAGATGAACATACCTCAATCTTATGTGTCATTAATCTGATATCTAAATGAATCTGGCCCTAAAACAATTGTAACAAAACCATTCATTTGAAGTGCAATCAAAATTATAATTGGGGAATTGATTTATTATTTAAATATGCAACTACTAATTCAAATTTTCAATCTAACAAAAGAAGATTATTTGGGATTTCACATTACTAATGAAGCAATTTTGAAATCATAACAGGTAGATGTTTTTGGTCAATGGATATGCATAGAAGGCACAATCATATCAAAGATTTGGCTACTTGCAATGGCAATTGAAGGTATCAAGTTATTATTATCGATATTATTATTATTTCTTTGGTTCACTTTGTTTTGGTAAGAAAATCTAAATTCTAGAAGAATTTTGTATCGAAGTTGAAATCTAAATTCTCTTTTTCAGTTAGTTAGCAAAAGTTTGTGGTGAGAAGTGCACAAATTTCTTTTTTTGAAGATGAAATTAATCACCTTGAAGTTGATAAACATTGATCATCAACATGATTCTTACACATAGTAATTATTATGCAGTATTTCCATTGCAAGTATCTATAGTTGTAGTTTATTTATTTCATTGTTATATGAAACTTAGCTGTGTTATTAGTGAGTAATACACTAATATTAAATAATAATAAAGTCTCATGATGTACTATATATAAGGCCTCTTATTTGCATTTAGTTTTTTTAATAGTATTGATATGCCAAGTATTGAATATGGGTCAATGTTACTATGCATTCCTTGGCCCCTCAATTTACTATATAAGAATATATGATAGAAGAAAGATCTTAAAAGGCAAGTTTTTTCTCAAAAGAAATAATAAAGGAAAGATTTCGTTATCTAATTTGGAATCTCAAGCTTATATATATTATGTCGTTTAAGAAAAATATTGTTGCCATTTTGTTGTATAAATTGGGAAAAGTTTGCTGTATAAATTGGGAAAAGGTGGAATGTTGCTGCATAAATGTGCATCGACTTTGACCCATCATATAAAATTAAACTCCATATATAATTTATTGAATTGAGATAATTTGGCTTATGCGCAATACTTATATAAAGTCTACATTGTGAAACATAAGCTTCTGAAATAATTAAACTTTGTTATTAGTTATAGTTATGGTCAATCTATTTAATTTGCATAACAAGGAACAATGTATACATTTCTTCTTTGTAGTTTTATATTCTTATAACTTATTTCTTGTCATGTTTGTTTGATTATCCTTCTGGTCATTTCAATATATTGGTTGCATTTTTCTTTCTATCTTATTGCTTTAATAATTAAAGTTGTGTTTTTTTTTTCTTGTTCTTGGTTTTATGTTTTTTTTTCTATAACATTCCTTTGCATAATGAGGTGGAATATAATGAAGAAAATAACATATTTTTATTGCTATAGGCTTCTCTTGACAGGATTGGGGAAAAATGTAACGAAGAAAGTAACGGTATGGTCCATTACCATTCCATTCGTGGGTTTGCTTTATTTATCCAATTTGGAATGAAATATACTAAATCTTTTAAATAATTATTTTACCATTTAAGTTCATTTTCTCCATCATATGTTTGGTGTTATTTCTTCTTAAAAAGTCAGCATTATATTCTTGGTTGGTGCGTTTTGGCATGAAGGGATGAAATGTTGGAATGATTCCCATTTTTTCATATCTATATCCATTTTCTTTATAATTATTAACAATATTTTTGTTTGTAACATTAAAATAATATGTGACCAAACAACGCCTTTCTCATGCCGTGAGATTGATTCCAACACACAAAACAAGATTTCATAGTTCAAATCCTACAAAAAGGAAGAAACAAACATATATTCGGGCTTCTCTATCAAGATCAATACACACAATGAGAGAAATGATTACAATAATCTTTCTAAGGCCATGTTTGGCAAAAATAATCTAGCTTATAGTAATTTAGCGTTTGGTAAAACCATAAAAGTAGTTATCATAGTTTATAAAGTAGCTTATAAGCTAGCTTATTGATAAACTAGTTTGAGATAGCTTATTGATAAAACATAGTTTTTCAGCTACTTTGCCAAACAGTGCCTAAGTGTTACTAAGTCGAATATCTATATAGCATTCCAAGTTAAGGGTACTTTGGTAATTGTTACTAAGTCGAAAATCTATATAGCAAAGAGTGGAATAGATTATGTCTTCCGCCGCTTGCCATATCAATTAAATTGGTAAATAAGACCGAGTATTGTGAATTTACCATATTGCCCTCTTTGTAAGATTTCATTGATTTAACCTGATCCGTGTAGGTCTATAAAATGCATCTATTTAATAGGAGGATTTCAAGTCAAAGTCTGAAACCCTAAGAGCCCTAAAAGCCCTAAATCTGAGAGATAGGCAGCAAATCCTAATAGAGGAGGTTGAAGGTTAGAAGGTTAGCAGGTGAATGTCCTCATTTTATATCTATTCTATTAATTTATCTATCGATCGCCTATTTTCTACTTATTGATGAATGTTTTTCTTATGAAGCCTTAAAAACCAGGTATTCTAGTTGTAAATCATTTGCAATCCTTTACAATCGTAAATCTAGTCAATTCAAGATACTTTCTATTCACCAAATTTTGAATTGATGGCGAAATCAAGAAGCGATTCACCTTTATTAAATCTAGGGTTTAATTGGGTTTGTTCGCATGACATTTTTTACTTCAAGTTGTTACAATTTCCAAATGATTTAATTAGTAATGTGAGATCCCAACTAATCTTCTCTTTTAGATCGAAAAATCGAATCAATAGTTGCAAATTTGGAGAAATAGATCATTTCCCTAAATTTGAATTTGAATGTAGTTCAATTGATTGACTTGTTTCACTTGTCGTAGGTTCCGCTTCATTCAGATATCAGATTGATGGCACACGAGATCAATGTAAGTCAGATTGTTTACTATTGACCATCGTTTTTAGTTCATCTCTTTTTTGTCAATTATTTACATTTTGGATAATGTTTATGGTTTACATTTAGATTCAACTTCCGGTACAATTTGAAGACTTTTATATACTCTCATTTGGAAAAATCATTGCAAGCCCATTATACTACGGGGCCAATTATATTTGGCCAATTGGGTATAAATCCTGTTGGCATGAAAAGCTTACCGGCTCACTTTTTACATGTGAGGTGTCGAATAACAGTCAAGGTGGACCCCTTTTCAAAATCACAAGGTCCGGTTGCTTAGAATTACCTCTTCAATATGGTCAAACTATTCTATGTCGAGCAGACCTTGAGGAGCATGACAATGTTGTGACTGAGCTGACTGAGATAGATCAGGACATTGGTGATGAGATAGTGTATGAAGATGTAATTGGTGACTTATATTTTGAAGGGTCATCACTATCTTCAACATGGGAGTTATTATTGAAAATGATTGTTGATGTTTACGAAGAAATTATCAACCGGAACGGTGGCCTACAGTGTTACTGTAGGCATGCGGAAGATTTAAGCTTCTTGTCATCTGTTCATTTTACGCAGGAGGTTAGCATAGATCTGGAGAACTTTTTACATTCGCAACAATGTGTCAGTGTGCCGACTGTCGTTCATGGTGACAAGGAGACTCGTGAGTTTTCAAAATTATTGATAAATTGGTTGAGAGGGTATCGATTTGGATTAGACATTGAGTTTGTTCAAGAATTTATAGAACAACTCCCTGGAGTAGAAGCCTGTTCAGGATATATATTATGCAAAGATCGTTTACGTGATTCATCTTCAACAATTTCAAATAAAAAAATTAAAATAAAGGACGTGGAGCCTTTTCCTGTTGGGAGTCTCATTTCCTCAAGGTTGTCTTCTAATGCAACAGGCGACCTTCTTCAGGTATGCATTATTCGTACAAGGGTATTCTTGTCTTTTCATAACATGCTCTGATCTTTCTTCTTTTCTACACAGGTATATGAGTTCTTATGCCGTTTTAAAGAAGTTCTCGAAGTGGAAGAAAATTGTTTATCGTATAAAGATCTTGAAAATGAGCTTCATCTTACCCCATGGCCTGTTACATATGGATATGGGGCAGGGGCATTTCTGGAAACAGTAGAAATGAATTGTGTTAAACATAAGGTTGACAAGTTGACTACTGTCCACATGGCACTGCTACCTAGGCTAGTGAGTAAGCTCCTGCGAAAAATAACTAATGCGTTTAAAGTAACCGGTGATGCTAAAGATACAGAGAAGGACAAGGATAAAAAAGTAAATTTAGAAATGTTTCCGATTAATCCGCTGACGTGGCCAGAAGTGGCTAGAAGATATATCTTGGCTTGCTTGTTAATGGGATCTAAGAACACTGCTGTTGGTAATAAGACGAAGCTCATTCGCTGTCTGCAAGGTGATGATGCTATTTTCTCTGGATCGCCAGCTGGCATTGCAGGCTCTGATGTGGACGCACAGGTGAGATAATTATTATTATATAATTCACATCGTGCAATAAATCTTATTGTAAATTACATTTTGGTCCCCGAGTTTGCAGTTTTGGTTCCAATTATTATTATTATTTTTGGCAATATTGGTTCTCATTTGAGGTTTTTGTAACATTTTTGCCTTTTTTTGCAGTTGCTTGGAAGAGCTGTAGAGAAAGTATTTGGCAAACGGAAAAGAGAAAGGAGTATTTTACTTGCAGGGACTAAAGTTGACAATTTGGAAAACTACAGGCGGGAAACAGATTTTAGTATTCCAGAGTGGGCGAAAGTGCTTGATCCTGTAAGAAAGCTGCCTACAAATGTGGGGTCCCGAATTCGGAATTGTGTGCGTGAATCTTTAAAGAAAAACCCACCCGAATGGGCAAAGAAGCTTCTAGAAGCTTCCATTTCAAAAGACGTGTACAAGGGCAACGCATCCGGGCCCACAAAGAGAGCCGTAATCGATGTTTTAAAAAGAGTATCCGATGGCCTGCATACAGCATCCCCACCTGGCATGGAAATGGAAGAAATCAAAACCTCCAAGATGTTGTCAAATACAGTGATGAAAAAGTGTCGTGTGGTATTACGCCAGGTGGCAGCAGCTTATGATAAGAAGAAAAAGGTTCTTGTTGATAAAAAGAAAAAGGTTCTTTTTAATCTTGTTGGAAGGGACTTAAATTGTAATGATAATTATTTAAAAATTGTTTTTGGATCTGTGTCGATGCGTCCTATTGATTTAAGAACCATTGATTTGAGATTGTTTCATGGGGCATATGGTGCTTCACATGAAGCATTTCTTGAGGACGTTAAGGAGGTAAGATATTCTCTTTAAACTTCTCTTTTTTTGTTTTGCTTTTAAGGTTTTATTATTTTGTGGATTCATTTTTTAATGTTTTTTGATTTGCAGGTGTGGATTAACTTACGCAGGAAATTTAAAGAGGTGGATAAAATGTCACGTAGTTTTAAATTGCGATATGAAAAGGAGGTTTGTTTCTTATTATAGCAATGTGTTTTTCATATATCTATTATTATTATTATTATTATTATTATTATTATTATTATTATGTTGTACTTTCAGATTATTCCTCATAGTCCACATGATATCACCAAACTTTTTTTTGCCATGTCAGCACTATATTCCACAATAATTATGGACGATGACATGGCATAAAAACCTGTTAATTTATCTATACAATGTTGTAATATGTCTAAAAAAACATAAAGTAAGATTTCTTAAGGTGATTTTATTAATGCAGGTAGGGACTCTAGTTAGGAGATTTTATGAAGATAACATGAACAGAAAACCTATTGAGGAAATAGAGAAGGAGCTTGAAAAGATTATAACTTCAACTGAAATACCCGAAGCACCCTGGGAAACAGGAATCTGCAATGTATGTGGGATTAATAAAGATGATGGAAAAGTACTTCTTTGTGATATGTGTGAAGCAGACTATCACACATACTGTTTGACTCCCCCTCTTTCTCAAATCCCAAAAGGCAACTGGTTTTGTCCCATTTGTGTGCCACCTCAGCAGGACAACGAAGCAGAAGGTCTTGTAAATATTTTACAATTTGTTGATAAGAATTGTGAAGAAACAACTAAGCTTTTGGATATAGCCACTGCCTTGAAGGAAAAAGAGTATTGGGAATTAGATGCAGATAAGGTGAGTTTTTTTTTTCTTTCTCTTTCTTTAAATTAATCCTGTCTGGATATATGATTTATAAAAAAGATTGTAGGTGTGTTTCTTTTTGACTTAATACAGATAGAAATTCTTAATATGTTAAGTGAAAGGAGGGTTGTTTTTTCCATTCATTCAGACCTTTCTATTTGCCTTATTACCCTTTACCTAAATCCTACCAATCTGTAATTTCTTGCCAGCCATATTACTCTTAAAGTTTTGTCATTTACAAGTTTGTGCAGTTTTTAGATAAACAATAATTTGTTATTCATCATCACTTTTTTGACAGAAGGGTAAAATGGTCATTCACTTGTATGTTTTTTTTAATGCAGAAAACCTTCTTGCTCAAATTTCTATGCGATGAGTTATTGAAAACCAGTCTTATCCGTACGAATTTTACAGAGCTAGATGTGAATGTGATGGAAGAAAAAAAATCCCTAAATTTTGTTAATCATGAAGAGCTCTCTTTACGCAAGGAATTTTTAGGCATCGATTCCGAGAACAGATTCTATTGGGGATTCCAAAACACAAACACAAGCACACATCACGGAATCATCGTCAACGAGACCGGAATGTGTGATTCCGATTCCGGTGCATGGCGTTTATTCCAATCCGACGAACAAATCAAGAGTCTCATCAACTACTTCAAACGAAACGATCCGAACAGAAGAGAATTGAGAAATTCGATCTCAAAGTGGCAAAAATCAATCACAAAACATGGTCAACAAACGGGAGCAAATTCTGTCAACGGCGAAACGGTCTTTTCACATAACAACGGACTTGCTACAAAGGCAAGTGAGTTGCTGGAGGCGAAATACAATACAGATCCGGATTCAGTGAAGAAACCAAGAAGAAAGAACATGGCAAAATGGCATAGGTGTGGTTGTTTGGAACCCGTTTTGCCATGTAGATACCACTGTGTTAAATGCCATGAAACCTTTTTCACAAATGTTGAATTTGAACAACATAAGAAGAACAAGTGTGATTGTGGTTTGGATTTGGGTTTGGTGAGTCAAATGGGACCCGGTCGACTCAGCCTTGGTTGTGATTCATTAAGATGGTTGAAGATGAATCTGTTGGACATGGAAGCTGCACTTCCCGACGGAGCAAAAAGAGGGTCCAGGTCAAGTTCTGAATGGAGATCTGAATGGTGTGCATTTGTTAAATCAGCTAATACCGTATATGAGGTAAAATGACTATATTGCCCTCTCTTTGATTTCACACATACATATTCATACACATATACATTTACACATGCACAACACATGTATTATGTGTGAAGTTGTGTGGAGTTGATAAAAAGCATAATTGCTATATAACTTGAACATCCACTAGATGTTTCTTTTAAAATCCTATCTTGTGATGTTTTTCATATTTTTCACTTTATTCAGATGCCCACTGCATTTACTTTCCAATTTTTTATAATCCCCATGTCCACTAGTTAGTTCTCTTTGAATAAAGTAAAAGTGAGAATCATCATCATTTTTGTGAAAATAAGTTAAGCTTGAGTTGTATTTTTATTGATGAATTCCGAACCAAAAATACTAGTTATTTAATATTATTATTACTTTCTTAATTTTTAATATTTATGTTTTTGGATTGCAGATGGTTGAAGCAACTATGGTATTAGAAACCATGATCAAGACAGATTATATCAACAACACATGGTGGTGGTACTGGTCATCAATGGCTGCTGCTGCCAAGACATTCACCATCTCCGCCCTTGCTCTTCGTATCTACACACTCGATGCCGCCATTGACTACCAGAAAACCACCACCACCACCGCCGCCACCTCTTCCAGCCAAAAACTATCAAAGAAACGGAAACACCCCGATGACAAACACAAGGAACAAAGAAAGAAACCAAAGAAACCACAAGATAAACAAGAAATCAAGGAGCAAATCCAAAACATCATTCCATAATCCGCATGTTTATCCCATGTTTTAGTTTTTGTTTGGAGTTTATGTGTGTTTTATGAAAGATTGTGTTTGTAAGTGTTTTAGTTTATCGAATTTACAAGTTTTCCGGGGCTATTTTGATGACAGGATCAAGAGGGTATTCATGTCTTTATACCTGGTTCCATCTTAATGATCAGAAAAGTAAATTTGCAAATTAAAACTATAATGCAAAAGCCATTTTATATTGATGATCAGAAAAGTAAATTTTCAAGTTAAAACAATCATGCAAAATCCATTTTACAAATATAATGATTATTATATACATATATTAATTCACGAGGTTTAGGGAATAGTATAGTTTTATTGGATCTTACTTTGGCCACAGAAATTTTGAAGTTTGACATTTTACCTCCCTTTGTCTTTGGGTAATATCATTTTGGCGATAGAACTTTAATGAATTGGATTTAGCCCTTTTGGACAGGTTCTGCTCCTCCCATTGGCTCACCACCTCATCTTCCAACCAAACGCCACAAACGCTAATTACTTTCAACAACCATCTCTTTCCCCCTTCAATCTCCTTCTCTGAGGCTATCCGGAGTGGATACCTCTTCACGCGTGAAAAGCTGAGGTGGAGGGTCCAAGGACGTAATTATTTTGTCTTGTGTTTGTTTTGTGTTTGTTTCTCTGAATTATAGTTTAAGACAGGACATGACAAATTTTAGTTGTCATCAGCTCTTTCAAGAAAATTCCATTGCATGGGAGTCATCGTATTGAAGGACGTAAGAGGAAACCATTTACCGAAGGTCCCTTGCCTCGAATTAGGATTTACGGATACACAGTACAAACAAAAGCATCCGAATAACAAATTTGTGCCTGTTGTGAGTATTGCTCCATTGTTGAATTTTAGCTTTTCTGTTTCGATGGATCTCTCACTTTTTCTTTATCTTTGAGTAAGTCAATAAGTCAGGAAAGCTGGTGGTGATAAATGGAAATCACTTTTTCTAGCGTAGGTATTAAAATTCATCGAAGTTAATCAACTTTTCCAATCATTCAATTCATTCAGGATAAAACATTTGAAGATGGAAACCTGACTTTGGACCAAAGAGGTAAAGTTTCACCATTTGTTCATTAATTTTATAGTTATTATGATTTACGCCATTTAATTGTGTTATATATTGCTTTGTACGTATGAATGTGATTTTATGTGATCGTCGGGGCAATATTCAAGACCATTGTGAGCTACATGGTGAAATCACCCCAGTAAGTTTAATTAGATTCGAATTACAAAAATCCGTTTTCATATGCTTTTTGTTTCAGAACTAATAAGCTAATTCAAGCAAATTATTAATAACAATGTAACATGTTCCATAAGGGACCTTTTAAATTTGCAATAATGAATTGACAAGTTACTTTGTATATGAATCTTAGGTTCAAGGTTTAGATGTGAACAACATGGATTTTCACCCTCAATACACCACACTGCTTTTACATTAGTTCTATATAGGCATAGCTGAAGGTTTGGAGTTTTTATTTTCTTTATCAATTTAGATTTTTCACGTCACTTTTTCTTCTTCATTTTCAGTTGGAACAAAAACTGGTGATACTTCTATTTGGTAGGTAGCTAGCAAGTTGCTGTAAGATAATAGATTGTTTTTATTGATAAATAGTAAGATTAAACCTCATATAAATAAGGATACATAAGAGACCTAATATAAACCCTAAAGGGATTGGGCCTAAATCCTAATCACTAACATCCCCCTGCAGTTTGATCGGGAGGGGACGATTAAACTGGAAAAACAAAAACATAACATAACATAAATGAAGACAGTAGCAGTGGTGACAAAGCTCTAACGATGACGGATAACAACAAGTGCTCGTCGGAGAAGGACAGAGAAGAAGCGAGGGCCAACAGCGGTTCCTTTGTATAAGAAGAGAGGAGCGACGATGACAATCATGTGACCGGAGGCAGAGGAGTCCGGAGAAAGGCAACGAGGAAGAAAGAGGGCTCGAGCTGCGGCGGACGGAGCCAATTCCTGCAAGATCGGCGACTGCAATGTTGATAGAGAGACACGATTGTAGATCATAAACTAATCGGTGGAGAAGGTGCCATCAGAGAGAAGCATCCGCAACATCAGAAGGGGATGAATCGGAAAAGAGATCTGAAGAAATGACCAGCTGAGGAGGAGGCGGAAGATGAGGAGGCAGAAGTAGACGAGGCAGTAGAAAAGCCTATGAAAAGGCTCTGGTTTGGAGCCACCTGGCTGTTTTATTATTTAGGCGGAGAAGAGAAGAAACAAAAAAATATGGAACATAATGAAGAGACCTCCGATGACTATTAGAGAAGGTCGCCGGAGGTGAAGGGCGGCGGTTGCGGGTTGTTATCAGCGGTAGAGTTTTTAACCTAGAGCTCTGATACCATGTAAGATAATAGATTGTTTTTATTAATAAATAGTGATATTAAACTTCGTATAAATAGGGATACATAAGAGACCTAATCTAAACCCTAAAGGAATCACCAACAGTTGCCAATTGCACTTAGAAGTTTTAATGTTTGGAACATCATGGCATGTTCAATGCCTCTCCAGGCTTTTTTGGCCAATGATCTATTCATTTTCAATTGTGTTACATGGACTCGTGATGGCCTTCTTTTGGGTATGCAATAAAAAAATCCATTTAAGGATATAATAATAGGTAGCGGTTCATTTGGGACCATTATTAATTTATGAGACAAGGGGACCAATTTTCAGCATTTGATCATAATTGATCTAATGGTTCAACAATAAAACGTGATTAGTGCTGATTAATGTTGATTAAGGCGCTTAACTAAATTGCGAGGGGGTAGTTTAGTCACTATTCTACTTTTTATCCCTTAGTTTTGATGACAATCTATATATGACGTCTTGTTTCATGAAAAGAACGATGTGTGTGATGCGTGCAATCAGCCGAGCTCAAGTAAGTTTTCCCCAAGATAACCATACATGTTAAGTTATGATATGATATGATTATGAGAACTGCATGCTAGATTAGGACTGAGGATCTAGGAAGGATGCCTTATATGCCTACTGTATGTGTCTGAGAACTGCATGCTAGATTAGGGCTAAGGATCTAGGAAGATGCCTTATATGCCTGCTGTATGTGCTTGTTGAGCTGCATGATAGTACTGATCAGTCAGTGATATGATAGCTTGTTTAGGTTATGCTTGATTGTATGAGCCTTAGAATCTCATGCTAGTATAGATTCCTAATAAGAGGATTGAATGATTGATTGAAATATGTTGGTTAGATTTTCCTTTGTCTGAATGCTGCTTGCTTTGTGCTTTGTGGGACTCTTAGTAATGTGAGCTAGCTATTAAGTGAATATGCTAAGTCACATCTGGCACAGGCTGGATAATCTTAGAGTGATAGATTTGACCCCATTGCGCAGCTCTCGTTTGAGTCTAACCGTTATAGGGATGAGTCTTTTACTCGAAGGATTATCTGATCTGTGTTGCATGTGGCTATGTTCATAAGGTAGCTAGTTGACATTACTGGGAATCTTTCAGCAGCTGAGGACTGGGTGGGTTCGGGAACCCAGGAAAACCTAGGATACGCTTCAGTAGGTTGGAAGTGAGGTTTAGTGAGACTTGAGTGAATCAGTTTGAAAGGGTAACTTGGAGGACCTGGGTTGATCCTTGAGGAAAGTATGGATAGGTGTGGAAGGTAGTATTGGGCCCGTACTACTAAAAGCACATGATCCATACTCGAATTAGGGAGAGTCTTGGAGAATCCAGGAAGCCTGTGGGATAAGGATTATTGGGTACATTCAGATCTTTGGAATGTCAGTTCAGTATGGCGTAGAGCACTCAGGAATGAGATTCAGATTCTGGTTCCGACTCAAGAGCAGGGCCTGGGCCAATCGATGCGCGATCGCAGGAGTACATCTCATCGGAAAGTACTCGCAGAGTTTTGGGAATGGACCTCGGTGGTCTTTCATTCAGCCAAGGAAGGGATTTTGGAGCTTTAGGTACTCGTCTCGGGGCGTTTCAGGCCAGAATTGTCGCAGGGCAGTTAGGGGTTCATCTGAAACCCAAGGTCTGTGGATCCTTAGAATCCTTCAGGAAGGAAGATCCTATAGTTAGTTCTTGTCATCAAGATCAGGATTTCGTTAGATGTTCGCAGCCATGTCATCTTCTGCCACTTCAAAGTGGATATTGGGCATCTGTATCGCTTCAGAATTGAGAGAGAGGTGGATAAGTCAGATCTCGGGTCGGTTCTCTGCTATTCTCTGGGTTATCAATGGTAGTAATATGCCATCTTGCATGCCGAAAAGTCCTTGATGAACCTACAGGGGGACGTATCTTGCGGAGTGGGTTCCGTGTGTACCGTTATTATTCCAGATCTTGGTTGGAACCTGTGCAGGAGTATTATTTAGATGATATTGGGTCAGGATTAGATTGATAGTTCTCCAGGATATTGAGTTGGAATTGGTGTAACTTAATTCAATGTTGATTACTCTTATTAACTTTACCTTAGTTTTGTTAAAAATATGACTTTTTCTTCAAATACATATTGTCGGACATGTCTTTTAGCACAATTTTGTTTGAATATGCTCCTGTTACCCTATAGAAAAGGGGTTACACTAAAGAAAAGATTAGATGTAGCACCGTAAAATTTCCAAACAAATTTTTCATTTCAAATTCATATAAATCTCATAATGCATTTCACAAAATCTCATTTATTTAGTTTACAAAACGCATCTCCATAATGGTTCGTTGAATAATCCAGGATCCTCAAAACATAACTCTTTCTCTGGTGTGTACAATCGAGCCGGTGTCTTCCCGCGATCCTGAGAAAAACCTGAAATACATAACACATAACACGGTAAGCACGAAGTTTAGTGAGTTCCCCAAAATACCACACACATCTCAGTAGCCTCTCATGGCTATAATCAGATAAGACCCTCCGGTCAATGTGTCTCAGTGGGGCCCTCCGGTCCCAGAACTCAGGTGGACCCTCCTGTCCTAACTCAATAAGCTCATAATAACAATACTCAACATAAATCACAGAGACATAATGCAGAATATCACAATGCACAAATAAGCACATAAGACATCTCAGTCACACAAGGATACAACTCATGCTAAGTATAGTGAGAAGACTCACCTCGGATGAAGAACAACC